GGCAACCAGGCAGCCCTGAGGGTCTCAGGCGCGGTCCACGGTTGCCCCGGCAACTGCGCCGCGCGCCGCCCCTTTCCAGCCACAGGCCCCGCCCAGAGGCCGTGCGTCAGTGCGTCGTCTCTATGGTGGCGGTGGATTCGGAGGGACCTGAGGATCATAGCGTCAGGCGAGACAGACTTGAGGGTGGGAGTGGTGGTGGGGTTGCAGGTGTGACCTCTGACCTTGGCGTGGACCTTCAGGTAACCAAACTGTGGGAGGAAGGGCTGGAGGGCTTATTCTGCCTTTTTAGCTGGGGCGTTCGCGACCAGGTCTTTCCATCACCATTCTTCCTGTGGGATTCCCTGGTGGCCGCAATACTCAACCTTGGGGCTCTCTCCGGCTTCGTGGCATCCTCTCCTCCTTGTGACTGTTCCCCATCACTTTCCTCGTGGAACACGTCGATCAAGGGTCTCTCCTAGTGTCTCACCCTTCTCCCCTGCCCAAGTGCCCTCTGTGGCCTTTTCCTGGCTCGCTCCGGTGACTCTAGTCTCTGTCTCCCAGGATGTTCCGCCGCGAGCGCTCCATCCCACTTCGCGACTCTGCCGCCGCCCTGTCTAACAACCTCAGTGTACTGCAGCTTCCAGCCCGTGATCTCACGCATTTTGGAGTGGTTCATGGACCGAGCGCCCAGATTCTCAGCGCTGCCCCTGACGGTGTGCCCTTGGCCCAACGCCAGCTCCAAGTCAAAGTGGGCGTTGGAGTGAGTCCCCCACTTATCACTCAGGTGAGGCTAGGAGTTAAAAAGGTGTTGCCTAAATCAGCTGTACCTTTGACCTTTAATCCCCTGTCTATCCCCTCGACGCCGTCTACTGTGATGCCTGTATCTCCAGGTCCACTGGTGCGTCCTCCCCTTCAGAGTACTGCTGGTGCTCACCTCACATCGAAGAATACAGGTGAGAAGGGAATCCTCCTCCCCTCCCTCTTCAGCCCCCACCCTCCCCAGTTCCCTCTAAATAAACTCTTCCAAACTTCCGGTGTGTGTAGCCCACCCTTTCTCTAATTTTCATCTTCATGCTTTCCATTTTCTTCACCCCTCAAGTTCCACCTCAGCCATCTGCCTCCTTCAATAACTCTGTGACCTTCGGTACATGTAGCCTCGATGTCCTCCTCTGAAAACTAGGGATAAGAGTAGTACCTCCCTCCAGAACAAGTGTGAGGATTACATGGACTCAGGCTGACATGGCTGTGTGAAATGCTGGGCCCAGAGCGCAGCAAGGGTCCCTTGGATCATGCTCTCGTCCTTGCCCCCATCTTCCAGATGTATGAGTCTGACGGCTCCCTCATGGTCTATTGGCATGCCTTGGATTCAGGAGATGCATCTTCAGGTACCCGCAGGACCAAGTGGAGCAGGGGTGGAGGCTGGGAGAATTTGCTAGGGCTGGAGGAAGTGCTGTTTCTGAGAGCTGTTTTTATATTCAGCACAGGCTATGTTTGCCCGAGGAATCGCTGCCAGTGTTCACTTCATCTGTGTGGGTGAGAGGCCTAAATGCAGGGCATTAAGGTGTACGAGGTACATCGTTACAGGCTTTCCGCCAGGAGGATGCTGAGGGGTTGACGGACTTATGAAGGCTTAGGGGGAAGGTGGGGGAAGGGAGGGTATCAGAGACTCATAAAAACATTTAGGGAGGGATAGTGAATGGAAAGTCAGGACTGTGGGAGCAATGAGTTCATTACTAAGACTTCTGGGGTAGGGGGAGTGTTAGCTGTGGTGACTGGAGACCCAGACAGGTCAGGAAGTCATCAGTGGGACACTGGTTCTGGCTGCAGGAACATGGTCCGGTCGGGTACTGGTGTTTGACATCCCTGCTAAGGGTCCCAACATTGTACTTAACGAGGAGCTGGCTGGGCATCAGACGCCAATCACAGACATCGCCACTGAGCGTGCCCAGGGGCAGGTGAGTAGACCTTCTCTACCTGTTCTAGTGGCCCGGGAGCCTTCGTCACACTGGGAGGCCCCATTTGGGTCTTAGCTCTGCCACCAAGTAGAAGTGTGGCTTTGGGATCATCTGCATTTCCTTAGATGTAGCAACTTCAGGTCTGGAGTAAAACATACTTTACATTAAGTGTTCTATAAAAATCACTAACACTCTCCAATGCTGGTGTGAATCCAGAAGTTGGAGCCGACCATTTCCCAGATGCTGCCAACACTGACAGCTGTAGCTTCCTTTCCTGGACTTGAGCAAGTGCCCCATTCTGACCCAGCGCCAGGGCTAGCCTTTCCAGAAAGTCCTCTCCCTCGTCCACCCCCCCACCCCCGCCAGCTTCACTCTGAATAGTCCCTGTCCACATGGAAAACTCCTTTTTTCCTCCACGTGGATTGCAAACCTGTTGAGAACAGGGGGTGGCTTTATAATGTGTACCCTTCCCAGCACCTGATTTGTCTGCCTGCATCAGGTCAGGAGGCCTCGGGCTAGTTGTGACTGATTGGCTCGTTACAGAACCTCCAAAAAGTCAGGAAACGGTGGCTTTAGCATTGTCACCTATGGCAAAGGAACAGTTATACATCCGCTTCTACTCCACGATGGGGGCAGGGGAGGTGGTGGCTGTGAGGTGCATATAAGGACCTACAAGGAGCCCATGTTTAAGGGACTCTCAGAGGTGTCTGGTATCGAGCTGGTAAAGGACCTACCTCTTGCTCTTTCCCTGTAGAAGCAGAGGTAGGCATGGCTTCACTTCCCCGCCTGCCCTGTACTCTGGACCACACAGACTGTAACAGGAAGAGCTGACCCCGACTTTCTCCTCAGGATGGTGTTGCTGACATGGTGACAGCCGATGACTCGGGTGTTCTGTGTGTCTGGAGGTCAGGAACTGCATTCACGTTACTGACTCGAATACCAGGATTCGGGTAGGAGAGGCAGAAGAGGGTTTTGGCCTTTGTGAGGGTAGGGAGTATGTTGGGGTCTGGAGGAACCAAAACTGAACCTCACCCTTGCAGGGTCCCTTGCCCCTCCGTGCAGCTGTGGCAGGGCGTTGTGGCAGCCGGGTATGGGAATGGGCAAGTGCGTCTGTATGACGCCATCACAGGAGCACTCCGTGTCCAGATCAGTGCCCATGCCCGGACCGTCTGCGCCCTGGACCTCGCTCCAGAAGTAGGCAAGGTCAGTCTTGTGCATCCCTAAGTACCTTTCCTGTGCTTCGATGCATAGCTCAGGCTTCTCTCCATACTCGGTGTAACTCCATCCCCGGGTACCTGGAGTGGGACTCCAGCCCACACCCGTCCTGTCAGGGTGTTCTGACCCCTTGGCCATCCCTCATGGGTTTCTCTCTTTTAGCTCCTCTCTGCCGCTGAGGACACATTTGTGCACATCTGGAAGCTGAACAGGAGTCCAGAGAGCGGCTCCATTGAGGTATGTTTGTAGAAGGGTGGGAATGGGGACCCAGGCATAGGGTGAGCAGCAGGACTGACCAGTCTTCCCTTCCCCTCAGGTTGAACACTGCCATGGTGAATGTATTTCTGACACCCAAGTGTGTGGTGCGCGGTTCTGTGACCCATCAGGCAGCTCCTTTGCGGTGACGGGTTATGACCTTGCTGAGATCCTGAGATTCAGCAGTGTCTGAGAGAGGAGCAACCGTCCCTTCTCCCTTGGTATTTATAAAGTATTCCTTCCACGAAGCCCTTGCCTGATTACTCACTGTCACAGCCACACTTCTAAACAGCAAGCTCGCCGGGCGGTGGTGGCGCACGCCTTTAATCCCAGCACTCCGGAGGCAGAGGCAGGGGGATCTCTGTGAGTTCAAGGCCAGCCTGGTCTACAGAGCGAGGAGATCCAGGACAGGCACCAAAACTCCATGGGGAAAAAACAACCACAGGAGGAGGGGCAGGTTCAGAGCACACCGAAGCCACCGTCCTCAGAGACCATGTCCTCAGAGACCAAGTGAAGGCAGCTAGCTGTTAAATAACTTTAATGGTCGATGTAGGAGTCACAGAGGAGGTGCCTTCCTCCCTGTTCCCTAGTGCCGCCCTGGAGACTGGTTAGTGCGGGGAGGTAGGGCAGGCTTGTTCCAGTTTTCTCCCAGGAAGAGCTTAGGGCATCCCAACCAGCTCCAGAAATGGTCCCCTCAGTACCATGGTAACCACAACTTAAGAGGGGCTTCTGTTACCCCTCCCCAGCCTTCCTTTCTAGTCCAGTGGAGGAAGAAGAGCCTGGCGGGCGCCCCACAGTGCTGGACCTAGAGCCCAGTTGCCCTTGGGTCATCATTTTCTTTCTTGGCCAGATTCTGTTGCTGGTGTCTCTCTCACACCGGGGACTGGAGCCATGCGCCGCCGAGCTGACTTTTGCTGTAGAAGCCTCTGGACTGTGGGGATCGCTGCGGGGGGAGGGGTGCAACCGAGCGAGAAGCCCCAAGGGAGTGGTCCGGGGGGGCAGCATCCAGGGAAAAGGTTCGGGGTCGCCCCCAAGGCAGGGGTTGCGTCCAGGTTGGGACTGGGGCCACTGAGGCAGGCGAGCAGGAGCTAGGCAAGGCGGGCTGGTCTGTAAACATGGCTAGCCAGGGTGGGGGCGTCTCCAGCCTTGTGCCCTCCCGCTGGGCCAGGATGTCGGTCACAGCTGCGATGTCGTCTAGCGGCTCAATAGCTGTGGCACCAGGGGGAGGGGAGGGGAAGGGGCGGGGCTCGTCAGAGCTCCAGCCCCGGCCTGCTCAGCCCTGACTGTCACCTGTCACTGTAATAGGCCAAAAGCAAGGCCCGAATCTCAGCTGAGATGGCATTATTCTGCAGGAGCAGCCCCTCGCTGGGCCCCCCTGAGGCCACAGGCTCCGATAAGACTGTGTGACATGGGGGTGGCAGTGGGGAGCAGAAGTGGGTAAAGAAACCACGAAAAAGGAGAGAAAGCAGTGCCGGGCAAGTGAGGTCAGAAGAGGAGACAGGAATCCACATGCACAGAGGGAAACAGAAAAGAAGGATTAGGATAGACGTCATGGAGTGAATCTGGCTCTTTGGGGTTTGTTTTGAACTTGGGTAGAGGTGGTTTTCAGAATTGGAGAGAAAAAGGGGAATATAGTTGGGCTGAGTGGGACCTGGACCCCACTGTGCTTTCTCTCTGTCTATTACCCGGGTTCCCGTGAGGTCCCCAGCTCCACTTCCCATCAGCCCCTCACTGACTTACCCATCTCGTGGTATAAGGACCCCTGCTTGGCCAGTGCTTGCAGGGGTTTCCGGGGTGCCGGGGTTTCAATTTTCATGACTTCATCACAGCAGTGCTTCCACTGGCCTACAAGGAGAGTGTCAGGTGCTGGCGCTGCCTGCCTCCCACCACATTTCCCGCTTTCCCGCATCACTCAGACCTCAGGCCCTCCCAGAGGTTCAGGCCAGCCCTTGCTCTTACTCATGTCAAAGAAGAGCTGCCACAGTGCCTCCATCCAGTTCTGCAGGGCCTCTCTGCTCTCCACCTGGAGGGTGTTGGTCACCGCATCATCTCCATACTGGTTGCTGATGCTGAGAGTGAAAGGCCATTCTGAGGCCTGCTCCAGCTCCCCTGCCCGGACCCTCGTCTCCTGCAGGGGAAAGCAGAGCTGCCTTCATCTCTACCTCAGTTGAGAAGCAGCCCTTCACCCCTGCCTATAAGTATCTTTGGGACCTCTACTGAGCCTTCATTTGCCTCCTGCTAACTCTAGGAGGGGTGAGGGGACAGCCAGAGAGTACTGGGGATAAAGTACCTCTGCCTAGACAGGGAAGGAGCAGCAGGATGAGACTGGAAAGGGGCAGAGCAAGGCAGGGAAGGTGCAGAGGTGGGCAAGAGTTACCAAGGTCCAGGTTGGGGTTGCCCACCCAGTACTTCTGAACCCCAGACGGTGTCTGGGGTGCAGTGCAGTGGTAGAGCACTTGCCTAACACACAAGTCTCTCAGTTTGACCCCAGCACCAAGCAAAGCAAAACAAAAACATAGGAAAGCAACTCTGGCCCGGGAGCAGAGCAGCCCAATGGCAGGCACCTAGGTCGAGACAGAAACAGCAGGTTATCAGCAGCTCCAAACTGGAAGCAGAGGCACTGGAGGGAAACTCCTGGCCTAGCAGTAGAATCCCCTGGGATTTGGAAAGGGTGGGGGAAGCTGAGTGAGCAGGGTAAATTTCTTAGCATCATCCGAGGGGTAGAAAGTATAGGGATGTGGTCTCTGCCTCCCAGGCTGTGGAGCTTGGTGCTTTTAGGAAGAGAGTCCACCCTCCCTGTCCCTGAGGCCTGAGCCCAACTCTCCAGGGCCTTGAGAAAGAGGTGCCTGTGCCTAAGCACCAGATGGCTTCACTACCATGGGACTGGTCACCTTGTTGATGGCGATAGTGAACAGCGGTTCTTGCCCGGTGTCTGCATCCTCAGACCTCCAGTAACAAAAGAGGTTTGTGCCTTTCAAGACTCCGTGCACGAGTGTCCCATTCCGTAGCTCCCCAGCTTGCTGCATAAACGATTTGGTGTTTTCTAGGGAGTCTTGCCTCTCCACCAGGCACCTTCTTCCCAGTCCCCCATTGACCCCATGTCCCCAATACTCACCCTGCAGTCTTCCCATCCCACTTTGTCCCCCTAGATCTACATTTTTATCATCCTATTCCTAGGTGGTCCAACTCTGTCTCCTCCATGTCCCCTTCCACTCCCTAGGACCCCTCACCTGCACCCTGAGGGTACCACTTGCAGTGGGCTGAGTCATGCAGAGCGGCTGAGCTGCCAGGCGGCAGCACACGCTACCATAAAGGGGCAGCCAGGTAGGGTTCTCCTCTGTGGGGGGAGGAAGTACAGGGTGAGGATGGGAAATAATAAAGGGCTACCCTACAACCCCTCCTCAAGGTGCCAGTACCCCCAACACACACTCACACACATACCATGACTGGCGAGGGTGAGGTCGTGGGTACGGAATCCATCTTGTACTGCTGCCAAGGTGAGAGTGGTGTGGGCCAAGAGGTGGAATCGAGGACCTCTGGGGGGAGAAGGGGACCTCAGTGGAGTGCGGTGTGGGGCAGGAGAGTGCTGCAAGGCTACCACAGACAACTAGCTGGCCTCCTGTTTCCTGACCTCCTGCTAGGCACTCAGACCTGCACTTAGACATTATCCCAATGAAATTCTCCTGGCAGCTCCGTGAGGGTGGGTGTTCTTCAGTCAGCAGACGAGGCGGCTTCCTCCGAAGCCCAGTAACTTCAGGTGACTGTAGGCCTGCTACAGAGCATGCCTCCGCTCAGAGCACAGTTGTACATACATCTATGTTTGGTTTGGTTTGGGCGTGTATACGGGAGGCACACATGTGTGCATATATGTGTGGCGGCCAGACATTGATGTTGGGCACCCTCTTCAACTGCTCTCTACATGATTTATGAAGGCAGGGTCTCTCACTGAACCCACAGCTTACCAATTCCATGAGTCTAGCTAGCCAGCTTGCCCTGGAGGTCACATGTCTCCTCCCAAGTGAGCCCTGGGATTGGGTTCTGGGGGATCAGAACTCCAGTCCCTGTGCTTGCATAGCAAGTGCTGTATCCACTGAGCCAGTCCCCTCATCCCTGCTTCTGGTGTTTTGAGGCAGGGTCTAACGTACACCAGGCTGGCCAGAAACTCACTATGCAGCTGAGGATGACTTTGAACTTGCCTCTGCCTCCCAAATGCTGTAATAACAGGTGTGCATCACCCCACCCAAGGCTTCCTGTATGCTAGACAAGAACTTTACCAACTGAGCTACATCCCCTGTCCCATAAGGTGTTTTTGTGGTTGCTAAACAGGTAAGACTCCAAAGCCTAGCTCTCTCTGCCTCCTCACTGCCAGGCTTGTAGACTGACTGAGGCCTAACTCTAGGGTTAGCCAGAATGCCTGCTCATTCAGTGTGACAATGGTCACCAGTGGGGAGTTGGAGGCAGCTAAGGGCCTTGGGTGGTGAGTATATGGTCTTACCCTACAGTTGGGGTAGGCAGCAGGATGGGACTGTTCCCAGAGCCCCCAGCACTGTCCAGCGATGCCCTGACACGCTTCCCTGAGGAACGGCCCAGGGAGCTGCTGAGTTTGGTGGCGAGCCTCTTGGGGGCACCAGCCAGGGCCCCCTCCTCTTCCACACAGGCCCCATACAGCTCCAGCCGCAGTTCGAAGTCCGGCCCTGCCTCTGCACTACAGGAGTGCAAGAGAGAGGAGGGTGATGAGTGAGAGGCTCAGGAGGGCATAGGGGGAGGAAGGGCATGAGTCAGGACAACTCTACAGGCATGGATGCCCATGGGCCATCCGCCTCTCCTTCTGCCTCTCCACCTCCACCCCAGAGCAGTCCCACAGGAGCTGGAGCCGGAGTGGAGGAAGGAAAGAAGGAAGGAAGGAAGGAAGGAAGGAAGGAAGGAAGGAAGGAAGGAAGGAGCCACAGGCAAGGCACTCACAAGAGCACATTGTTCTGAAAAGAGATGTCTGTGAGAGTCCTGTCCACCAGGACCATCTCAGTGTCCTGAATCTGTTCCCCGAGCTGCAGCAGCAGGAACACAGCCCAGCGGTGCAGGTCTGGGAAGAAAGAGAAAAAGAGAAGTGAAAACATGAAAATTGTCGACAAGAGTCTCCACCTCTCCCGAACACGCTCTTGAGTCCGTCCCAGCGTGTGGCACTCACCGCCTTTGTTCTTGAAATACTCTGTGTCCTTCCACATGAGTGGGATCCGGAGGTCTAAAGGACAGAGGGAAGGAAGAGGGGTTAGAAGCAGCCAGGAGGTGGTGTGGTGGGGCAAGGGTGCTGGCAGCTGGGGCAGCTGTGTGTTTCTTACCAGAAATGCAGACCCGGCCACGGCAAGGGGTACGCTCAGGGGGCGGCACGCTGTCGGAAGGTCTGTGGGCAGATCACAGAGTCCTGGCCTGGTCTTCCCACTTTCCTCCCCTTTGTTCTGACTCCCAAGGGCTCTAAGAGGCCCCTGATTCCTAGCCTGGTTGGCATGGCAGGACTAAGGGACCAGAGGAGTGCTATTTTTTTCTTTTTCTTTTTCTTTTTCTTTTTTATTAAGAGATTTTCTATTCATTTTACACACCAACCAACCACAGATTCCCCTCTCCTCCCTCCTCCCACTCCCCAGCCTTCCCCCCCAACCCACCCACCCCCATTCCCACCTTCTCCAAGGCAAGGTCTCCCATGGGGAGTCAGCAAAGCCTGGTACATTCAGTTGAGGCAGGTCCAAGCCCCTCCTCCCTGCACCAAGGCTGTGCAAAGTGTCTCACCATAGACATTAGGCTCCAAAAAGCCGGCTCATGCACTAGGGACAGGTCCCGATCCCACTGCCTGGGGGCCCCCTAAACAGTTCAAGCTCAACAACTGTCTCGTTTATCCAGAGGGACTAGTCCAGTCCCATGGGGGTTCAGAGGAGCGCTATTGACAGAACTCAGGGGCTTGCTAGTCTTAGGAACATTTGAGCAATGTTAACACACAGGTACAGCACATGAGCTCTGGCCCCTCCCCATCCTAACATTGTTCCTGACCTTCCAAACCCCTGTCAGGCACAAGTGGGGCCTTGAGGGAACAGGTGCCATAAGAGATTCCCTTTCAAGCTCCCCCCAACACACACACACACACACACACACACACACACACACACACACACACACACATACACACACACACTAAACCATGGGCTTGAAGAGATTGGCAGGTTTTCCTTGCAAGTGACCTAGAAGTCACTTATTCCCAATATCTCACTTGTTTGAGAGTGAAGGCCTCACTCTGTAGCTCAAGCTGGCCTCAAACTCAGTGCTTCTTCTTACCTCAGCCTCCCATGTGCTGGGATTACAGGCATAAACCACTATACCCAGCTTTCATTTCATCTTTGATATGAGTACACAATATAGCACAATTAGCTGCTAGGGAATTAAATGTACTTCATAGTCCCACTGTGAGGGCTGTGTGGTCCATCTGCCCATGGCTACCTGAGAGAGCGCTGCCTCCTGCCTGCTTGGCCTCTTGCTAAATGAAGCAGTGATGGAACGTGGACTTTCTGTGAGGCCCTGGCAACCTATCCTTCAGCTCCTCCATGCCAGTGAGGGCTGGGACCCTCTCCCCAGGCAGCCTCAATGAGGCAGGCAGTTCCCCAAATGACTTATTTACCAAAAATGGCCAATCCTCAAAGCGATCAATTTGCCAAGTGTTTTCTCTCTAACATTTCACTTGACTCCAGCTGTCTCATGGTTGGCCTGTCAGATTGTGTACCACGGCATTGGCACAGTGTGTTGGCCACATACTGATGCTGAACTCCTTTGGAATGCACAACTGATTTCTACAAATGGGGAGCCTTCCGTTAAGTGATTTTTAATTACGTGCTTTCCCAACTCCTGCCTCTGATGGTGAACCCCAGGTACAACAAGCTACTGTCAATTTGTGGTAAATTGGTCATTCAGCAAATTGGCCATTTGGTGAACTAGCTTTGAGAAAATTAGTTTTCCAGAAACCAACCAGCGAGATGTAGCAGATCATGGGCAGGCCTCAACAAATGAGCACAATTGCATTACTTGTGGTTTGGACTGCCAGCTTCCATCAGACACACTGGCTTTCCCGAGTCCAGCCCCAGCCACTCCGGGTGACCTACCACCACGGTACAACACTAAGGTGTCTTTCATGACCAGGACAGGTATTTGTGAGTCCCCTTCAGGAAGTTGATCCGAGCTCTGAACACTCCACCAGCCGCTTGCTGTACCAACGATACACTCCAGACAGGCACTTACCGTAGCACGGATAAAGGCCCCCTCCCTCAGCCCCATCACCTCCCTTGCTCACCGCCGGCCTGTCTTCCCCAGCACCTGGGCCTCCTTGCGCCTCTGCAGTTCGCCCATGTAGCTGAGAATCCGGCTGTTGCAGACCAGCAGGCTCTTGGTGGCCTCCAGAGCCTGCTCTCGCTGGGAGCAGGCTGCCAGTAGCTTGCAGGCCCCTTCCCTCATCCGGATCTCATGATCTAGTTTCCTCTGCAGCTCTGTGTCCTGACCAGAGTTGTGGGAAGGGGAAAGGAAATGGCAGTCAGGGATGAGGCTGAGGCATCCCCCACCCCAGCCCCCGTCCCAAGTTGCCTATGTTGGGGGGATGGGCAGGGCAGAGGACAATGTCAAGAGCAAGCGTGTTCTCTCACTCTCAGCTGCCCAAGATGATCCAGAAAAGCTTTGCAAAACACCAGAGACACTCACGCTTTTGATCCGGAGGAGTCTAAAACCTTTCTGCCCTGGATGACAATTTGGAGAAATCTACAAAAACTGCAAATTCATATATCCTTTGACCTAACTATCCCATACTCAAGTGTTTAGCCTACAGATACAAGCCATATGTACAAAAAGATTCACTTAGCACTGTTTTATTTATGTGTATGCATATTACACATGAGTGCAGTGCCCACAGAGGCCAGAGGGAGGCATCAGATCCCCTGGAGCTGGAGTTACAAACCTCGCATGGGTGCCAGGAAGTGAACTTAGAGTCTCTGGAAGAACAATGATTGTTCTTTACCACTGAGCCATCTCTCCAGCCCCAGGCAGTGTTTTAAACACCCAAACTTAAAAAAAAAAAAAAAAAACCTTTCAATAAGACACCGGTTAAATGAGTTATATCTGTACTGATAAACAGGGCAAAAGACTGAGGTAGACATGTGTATAGCTATAACTCTCCAGAAAATATAGCACAAGAATAGAAAGCAAAACAACACTGTGCATCAAGCCAGGCATGGGGTACACATCGGTAATCCAGCACTTGGGAGGTAGAGGCAGGAGGATCAGTAGTGTAAGGCCATCCTCAGCTATGTGGTGAATTAGTGGCAAGCCCAGGATACTTGAGACTCAAAAACAAACAAAATATACACACACTACCATTTGTGATATAATATATATCATATATTTGTACATGCATATATGTGTGTGTATATATATGTGTGTGTGTGTGTATAAATATATATTTACACATTTGTGTGGCTGTGGTCCCAGAGGTCAGGAATAGAAAACAGAATGTGGAATCAGTCAGATGCACACTGCCTGCAGAGCTCATCCATGCTGCCCAGAATCCTATACATATCCCAAAGAGCACATCCACCACCTCTGACTCCCTGAGCTTGGGAGAGGAGGTCAGAGGCAAGGGATGAAGAAGGGAAAGTAGTTGGTCCAGGTATGAGGGGCTGGGGGGCCAGGCATGCATGAGGCACTGGACAGGCATGCAAGGGCAGAGGAGAGGCCCTGAGAGAGGACACAGGGTAGTCACTTAGAAAGAAGTCATCCTGGGGATTAAAAGGCAGTTGGCATTGGGCTGGGAGTTGAGCATGCGTAAGGCTCTGGGTTTGACTCCCCAGCACTGCATAAACTTGACATGGTGATGAGTACTCAGGGGGTGGAGGCAGGAGAATTAGGATGTTCAAGGTCACCCTCAGCAACATAGTGAATATGAGGCCAACTTGGGCTCTATGAAACCCTGTCTCAAAACAATAAAATAAAGTATAAAAAGACCTAGGCAGGCAGGCGTAGTGATGCATGCCTGTAATCCCAGCACTCAGGAAACAGAGGCAGGAGAATTACCATGAGTTCCAAGCCAGCCTGGGCTACATATCTAGCTTGTTTACAGTTCCTTTCTCCAAGGACTACTTTCTGGATCACTGTACTAGGTCAGATTTTCACCCCAGCACCACCCACATGATTCTTTTCCAAAACAGGCCAACTCAGGCCCCAAACTCCTCCAGGAAGCCCCCATCCCAAACACATGGCAGCTGTTAGCTGTGCTGTGGCATGCACCCCCTCCATATACAGAAACACACACACACACACACACACACACACACACACACACACACACACACAAATATATATTAAAGGTGGACAGTCTGGGCATGGTGACACATATCTTTAATCCCAGCACTCAGAGGCAGAGACAGGCGAATCTCTCTGAGTCTGAGGCCAGCCTGGTCTACATAGCCAGTTCCAGACCAGGCAGGGCAATATAGTGAGAACCCCCCCCATGTAAAGACAAACAAACAAACAAACAAACAACAAAAACCAACTAACCACACAAACAAAAACTTGAAGTAGACCTCTGGTCTACATACATTCATAGGCAAGCATACACACATGCACACACATATATACACCACAGACACACAGCATAGGGTGATAATAGTCATAGCATCTTAGTGTTGAAAGGCCAGTGAGATTCACACTCAGTGCCTAGTGCAGAGTATTCGGCACAATGGCGGGGACACAGGCTTTCACAAGGAGGCTGCTTTGGCAGTAGGCTTGTTCAGCAGAGAGCACCGGAGTGTCCCTGGGCTGGCCAAGGCTGCATATCTAAGCCCCAGCTGGGAGGTGAACACGCACAGATGAATGACTACTCCGTAAGTGCCTTGTCATGGCATAAAAACACAGGAAGCAGCCCCTCCTGGTTTCTGCTGAGGTGACAGCGGGAGGCTTCAGAGCGGAGGTGCACAACATAGGTTCAGGAAGCCAGGCAAGCAGAGGCTTGAAGTTGGAAGAGAAGAATGATTCTGACTACACGGACCTGTCCTCTCACACACCACCTCTCCTCCATTCGCTATGTCCTGCTCCTGTGTCTGGTGCCCAGGCTTCCTGACACCTTGAATTCCTTATCACCAAAACCTTGTCCAGACTGCGTGCCAACTCTTCCTTCCCTGTTTTGGGGGGCTGCTGTACTAGGCTGTTATCACAAACCGCTCCAGTACCATGTACCACCACTCCAGTACCACCTCAAAGCCCTCTCCTTCAGGCAGCCTTCCCAAACTACTACCTCTCTCAGCACAGCCACGCTTTGTATGCATCAGGGTTCTGCTTGGGCTAAACCGACTGCTTGCCCACCCCTCCCTGACTCTGCACCTAATCCCCGCAAATGAATGAGATCAAGGATTCGTCCTCAAGCTCGCTCCTGGTTAGCTAGCCCCCTCCGTGGCCAAGCACTCACCGATCCTTCCCTAGCCCCGTCCATTGCGTTTGCAAATGGCGCGGGGTCTCAGGAGACCCCGGGTGGCCGGCGTGACCCGAGGACTGCGTGGGAATTGAAGGATCCCGGGAGTCGGCACTGCCTCACCGCCTGGGGCCGCTGCGCGCGGAGGTGCCCATGACATCAGCTCCCAGTTGCCGCGAGAGGCACCGAGGGCGCCGGGCGCGGGCGGTCCCTGCGGGCTCCGAGATGCCTGCATCTCCACCACCGGGACTCTGTCACGGAGGGGCGCGACTGCAGGGAGCACCTGGGCCGCCTTGGACGGCTTCTCTCTCCAAGGTGACCCTTACCAGGAGCAGGGCGTGGGTATGAAGTGAGGTCTCTGGATCCAGCATGGACCAGCAGAACTGGACTTGGGAGGAACTAGATGCCTATCCCATGTGCACATCACTTCTAAATCCACTATAGCTCAGCCTACCGTCAAGAAAGCCCTGGAGAAAGAGTTCCCACCTTTCCAGGTGGAGATTGGGGTCCTTGTGCTTTGCACCTCTCTCCATACCAATTCGTACAGGAAGAGACCCTGGCTTCCTCTCCACCGCCACCCTCACTCTCCCGAAATGGACGGCCAGTTCCTCCAGTATGGGAAAGATCCCAATATTGAGTGTGCTCCGACCTGGGTGACTTGGGTCAGATCCCTAGGGATGACAGAGAATGAGTCACGGTCGCCCATGATGACACACTCCTCTCCCACACTCTGTCCCTGACTTCCTGCTCTGCTTCCCATCACCTTCTGTTCCCTTCACAATTCCCACTAGGGCTAAGTATAAGTCCTAGGGGAGGGACTTGACAAGCTTGACAATTTTGTCTCTGGAGCTTCAGTCTGTAGACTTGGGAGTAGGTGGCTTCCTTCAGAGTATTGTGTGAAGATTTGATGAGAAACATCGAACCTCCACCTGGGCCTGGCATGCGTTCAAACTTAGCTCCGGGGATGTTGGTAGAGCTTGCCTAGCATGCATGCCAGCCTGGGTTCCATCCTGAGCACCCCATTCACCTGAAGTAATGCTTGCCTGTAATCCTAGCACTTGGGAGGTAGAGACAGGAGGATCAGAAGTCCAACGTCTTCCTCAGACAATTCCTTCCACAGCCTGGGCTACATGAGAGGTTATCACAATAAAAAAAAAAAAAAAAAAAAAAAAAAAGCTTTCACTCTCACTCCTCCCGACACTTGCAGTGCTCCAGAGCTAGCTTTCCTGCAATTTCCTGAAATACCAGTGAGTCTGTCTTTCTGAGGATGTGACGAACCGGGGAAGGGGTTGTGCAGAATTCTCAGCCTGTGGCTGAAGGAAAGTTGATCAAAGTAAAAAACAAAGTCATTCTTCTGTTCCACATGTCGGGCAGGCCTCCCATGGAGAGAAACGACAGTGTGTGTGCGCGTGCGGGGGAGGGGTGCACAGGATGCAGAATTTAAACATTTACATACCCTAACCAACTCTGTTGATAGAAGCAGTCAGCTTGTATCTGGCAGTTGAATGTGGCTGGCGAAACCAAGAAACTAACTGGTTTCTTCCCCCACCCTTTCAATTAACCAAAAGTAATAATAACACAAATTATACAACGAGGAGTGCAGGCAATGAAGACCAGATGGATAGAAAGGAGCTTTGGGATATTTTGCTTACATTTTCCTTTGTTTGTGTTTTCACTTGGGATAGTCTCCTTCTATAACCCAGGCGGGCCTTGAACTCACAACACTCCTTCCTCAGCCTCCTGAGCGCTGGGATTATAGGCATGTGTCTCCACACCATGCCTCACCCAGTAACTAGGTTTTCTCTTGCGCATCAACACAGGGAAATTAGGCAATGTCAGAACCCCAACGGGTCCACTTGGCATCTTTCTACAAAACAGAAGGAGGGAACCCTCTCCAGACAAGTACTGAGGTGTCTCCTCCTGGTGCAGAAGCTGGACATGGGTGGTTTCCTTCTTCTAGCAGGCTCCAGGTGAAAAGTACACTCAAAATGCACACCAAGGCTGTGCTAGGAAGGCTCCTGCAGCTGCAACTGGGTAAGGCCATCACTCACTAGCAATGTCCATTGATCCAGAGACGAGGGCAGCGCTGGGTAGGCAGCATGTGCGCAGTAAGTTACCCTTCCTGATTACACTCTGCATCCCGGCCTCTGACCGCCCTCGGCTGCAGCCCCTGTCCGGTCAAGTCCAGGCAGTCACTGTTCATCTCAGCAAAGGGCCACAGCCCCGGGAGGCTTAGCCACACACCTGGACCTGTCTATTCTAGAGTTCTTCCTGCTTCACTCGCCCTGTCCAATCAATCCATCAGCCCGCTCCATCAGATCTACCACCATCATCTGGAATCCCTCCTTCCGTCCACGAACTCTGTAAGCTACGCTCCAGATTCATTCTCCTATGGTAATATTTGACCATCCACTGGGGAAACTTACAAACTCTCCTGCCAACTTTTCTTGCCCGGCTCTCATTACCACTGAGCTGATCCCCAAGCAATCACCCTCTAAAAACTTAAGGCAGGAGGTCATGTGGTGACATATACCTTTAGTTCCCACACTCAGGAGATAGCGGCAGATGGATAGCTGTGAGTTAAAGGCTACCCTGGCCTATATAGCCAGTTCAGGCCAACCAGGGATACATGGGGACTCTATCTCAAAAACAAACAAGCCCATAAACAACAACAGCAAGCTTGAGATAAGGGCTGGTGATGTCCTTCGGCTGGTTGGGTGTTTGTCTGGCATGCAGGGTTCCCAGCACCAGCCTGGTGATGCACACTTGTAATTCTAGCACTCAGGAGTTAGAGGCAGGAAGATCAGAAACTCAAGGTCATGCTTGGCTACATGTAGAGTCTGAGACCAGCCTAGGATGAAAAAAACCTTTCTACGCTGCAGAATCCCACACAGAGCACAATCTAAGTGACACATTACAGCCTTTCCACCCCAGCATGGTCCACCTCTGCCCACCAGCTCCACCCCGATGACAAATTCCAGTCCCACTGGCCTTTTTCCCCCACACAAATATATCATCCTCAACCCCATCAGAGGCTCTTCACCCTGGCTATGCCATCTTTCTGGAAAGCCTTCCTGCCAGCCTCAGATCGTCAGGCCCTCCCAGACTATCTAATGCTGCCATCTGCCTGACTGTTATTGCATCCTACTTTTATAATATTTTCACTATGCGACATCACTTATACATAGTTATTATCTGTTCCCTCACAAGAAAGGGCCTTTCCTGTCTTCTCCAGAGATATTTCCATGGCCTCGAAAGGAGCTTGGCACATAGAAAGAGTTCAATTTGTGTGTTTAAGAATACATGGGGTGCCGGGCGGTGGTGGCGCATGCCTTTAATCCCAGTACTCGGGAGGCAGAGGCAGGTGGATCTCTGTGAGTTCGAGGCCAGCCTGGACTACCAAGTGAGTTCCAGGAAAGGCGCAAAGCTACACAGAGAAACCCTGTCTTGAAAAACCAAAAAAAAAAAAAATACATGGGGCAGGTATGGTGGCTTGCTTATTGATTCTTAAACACATGCCTGCAATTCCAGCACTTGGGAGGTGGTGGTAGGGAGGTCAAGGTCATTCTCAACTACATAGTAAATTCAGGGAGGCTGTCTTAAGAAAAAATGAAAAACCAGCAGGACAGTGAAATGGATCAAAGGTGATTGCCATCCATTCCGAGGACCTGGGTTCAGTCCCCAGAGTCCACATGGTGGAAGGAAAGACAAAATCCCCAAAATTGTCCTCTGTCCTCTGCTCTTCACAGACACAGAGACACAGAGACACAGAGACACACACACAGACACACACGCACGCACGCACGCACGCACGCACCTTTCCTCTTGACCCACCATCTCCTTTCACTTCTCTTCAGGCTACATCTTTCTAGAAACCTCTTTCATATTGATTCCCTCTCTAAAAGGAACTGTTGTCCCCAGAACAAACATTCACACCTACTCACACAGCTTCCAGAAATAGGTGCAAAGACCCTGCTGTCAACATGTGGTTTTGCGGTTAGTGTTGTTGTTTAGCCCAGGCTGGCCTGGAGCTCACTCTTGCTTCTACCTCCCAAGTGCTAGGATTACAGGTATGTGCCGCTGCACCGCGGTACCCAGTGTATGCAGTGCTGGGGTGCTGGTAATCAAACCCAGGACTTTGTCCATACCAAACAGACACTCTGCCAACGGAGTCACATCCCTAGCCCTTCAACATAATGTTCGTTCTGGTCAGCAGCAGAAATGGGCCTGGGTCCACGAAGGGCACTCAACACAGAGCATACAGAACCACCTGCCGCCCTCCTACGGGCGTGTACCTCCCCACCCCACCCCACCCCCGACACACACACACACACACACACACACACACACACACATCGGGCCCCATTAAGACTGAGACAGCAAAGGAAGAAATGTATGGCCCAGGGGGCAGGGCATTACCTCCAGGCTGAGTGCCATCTGCCGAATGTAGAGCATATTGAGGTCCTCCAGGATGTGCAATCTGTCCTGCATCTCTGTGTCCCCTAGAGCCCCTTCCCGTGCTGCCCAGAGAGAGGCCAGGTAGTCAGCACGCTGTCCCAAAGCTCCTCCTCCCTCTGCTCCCTGGGCTTGAGCGAGGTGGCCAGCTCTAGGACAGAATGAAGAGGCTGTCCCTGTCCCTCTGCAGTCCTGTTAGACCCCTCTGGCTTCTGTGACAAAAAATTTCCTCTCCTAGTGCTGTCCCAAGGCCTTGGTAGGAGCCAGGCAGAGGAGGAAGACAAGGAGGTGAGAGTGAGCAGGGGATCCTGGGAGGAGAGGCCAGCTGCAGAGGGGGCTCTGGGCACAGAGTGTCCTGCCTGGCTTTGGTGGCAGCTGTTCTCCCAGTTGTGGAAGAAAAAGGCCCTTTCATTCCCATTTTGGCCCCTCCCCCGCTCCCGCCCACATCCCTGGCCTGGCGGACTGAGAATGTGCCTGCCGTGAGGGCAGTGAGGGGCAGGCACAGCTGGAAGGGGGCAGGGAACGGACGCCTCCTGCTGATTCCACGGAATCCTGGGGCTTGTCCGGAGATCAGAACCCACCGAGGGAGTGCTGGCTTAGTTTGAAAAAGTTAGCGACAGAAGGGAGGACTTGAGGAGACTTGAGCCCAGGGAATGGGACAAAGGGGTGAGTCTGTAATGCGGCCCAGACCCAGGGTCACCCCTTCCAGCGCCGGCCCCCATCCAGCACGCTCCACCCTGGGCTCACAATTACCTCGCTTTTCCAGCAGAAGGGAGGAAAGAGAGGGAGAAAGGCAGGGGTGTGCCTGATTGCTGCTGGTCCTGCTCCCCTCTGCGGGCCCCTTCCCTTCCAGACAGGAAACCAACCCGGGTCCCAGCCAGCTGCAGGGCTGTCCCCCCCGACCCCCCCACCCCCGGGCCTATGGAGTCACACTCAACCGGGCGGCGGCAGGCCTGGCCCTGCAGCTCCGCCCCGACTACTCAGCTCTGGCCCCCAAGGCCTGGCATATCCTAGCGCTGCTCAGGATCACAGGCCCTTCCTCCGGGTCCCCGACCTCGCCCCCGGCTCCCCCACGCTAGCCACGCGCGGGTTTCTTGGGTCTAAGTAGCTGGGGTGGGAAGATGACAGAAGATCTCCACTAGCTTCTGACTCAGAGAAAGCCTGGGACAGCGGGACACGGGTGTGAAAGAGCCTTTGTTCTGGGCAGCCGAAAGAGAAAGGGCAAAAGCCAGGCCTGGAATTCGGGGAGGGCGTGTGTGTGTGTGTGTGTGTGTGTGTGTGTGTGTGTGTGTGCGCGCGCGCGCGCGCGCGCGCGTGTGTAGAACCACCTCGTTTAACTCTTCCCAGCGATGGAGACAGCGAACTGGGACCTCCTTGAGCATGTGGTAGGCTGACCTTGGGGACCTAAGTCTCTTCGGGGTGGCTGAGGGCCTCTCATTTCTGGCTCCAGCCATGTGCCTCCAGTGCCTCTCCAGTTTAGGGACTTAAGCATAGGGCTCAGAATATGCCCGGTGACTCTCAAACCAGAGCCTGGATTCCTCTTAGGCCCAAGAAGGGAGGTGGAAAGTTTGGGTGTGGGAAACCACTCCAGAGTTACACACACACACACACACACACACACACACACACGAGAGAGAGAGAGAGAGAGAGAGAGA